ACTCTTTCATTTGTCTGTAGACTCAAATATTTGCATTTTCCTTATCTGAAGTTAGTAGCTTCTCTGATTTAGCACTTCATTACATGTTGTCCAGCTTCTGCTTGCTATTATAACTAACAAGGATACAGCTAGGGGAGGAGAAATTGCAAGAATAAAAGCAACGTGCTTGTCAGTAATGCTGGAATGGCAATGGACAAGAAGAATCACTAGTTTCATGCAGTCAAGAGCAGTAACATATTTGATAAACAGCTATAGCCCATGGCTTTGTTCTGTAAACACAGTGCATTTTCTAGCAAAAAATATCTTGTTATTCTCAACTTAACCTGGACTTGCTCTGTATATTGCAACTGTACATAACTGAGCTATTGTTACAGGATGCAGGCTGTCTACATGTGCCTGAACACAGCCCAGTACACTACAATCCAAACCAAGCATGGTCCCAAAACAGAGTCAAATCACTCGTGTTTACAGTGGGCAAAGAGATAAAAATCTGACAAATAACTTCAGAGTTTCTGAAAGTACAATCACCTTAACTGCTGAGTCATAGTACGTTTTTACATCAAATAAGAATGTCTAGAGGCTGGAAGAATGAAAGCTGAAGTGACACAAGGTGACAAGGAGTTGTAACAGGTACTCTGAGGTTATAAATCGTATTCTTGTTGTTTGGAAATGAAAACCAGACCACATTCTGTATATGGCAGGTTGTAAAATCTGAAATAGATGAGAAAGGACAGATTTCAGCAGTTCAATTTTGCATGCTGGTAGAGTTATACTTTCATCTTCCTGTGGAGAGCCATGGGTTGTCTTGATCTTGAGCATGAGCATTGCTTTGATGTGTCAGGTTTTGTCTGCCCCAACCCACAGGCTGGTGGCCAGTCCCCAGGGAAACGCCTGGGGCAGGGACTGCCCCAGTGTCCCCAGCTGCCCTGCTCCTGGCTGGGGGTGAGACGGGCCCTGGCTGCCTTCAGGGATCAGACAGGCCCCCTGACATCCTAGTGTGAAACAGTCTTCCTAGAATATGGGTTATATTTGCAGACTCTTTCTTTAGTGCCTTTAAACAGTGGAAGCTTACCTGGTAGTGAAGTACAGGTACCTAATACATGTGCTCATGCATACACAAATATGGGCGTGCACTTCATGTGCAAACGTGACATTTTTGAATGTGTAAAAGTTTCTTAATTCTCCATGCTGTTATTGTTTTTCTTTGCTGATTTTACTGAGTGTTACTCCCATGTTTTATACTGGCAGCGCTGTCTATTTTCCAGCCTACTCAGATGCCTTTATTTCATAGAGGGGAACATGGAATAATTTGTAAATATCAAAAAATAATTTGTTAAGTCTTAAAAATGATAATTTGATCATAGCAAATTCTCTGTTTTCAAAAGCAGGAAGAGGAAAAAATACCCATGAATAATAGTAGTGCTTCCATAGACTTTTCCAATTCTGCCCTGGGCTCTAAAGAATGCTTCTGATTACAAGAGTGAGCTCGAAAGAGGACGAGTCTACAGGCAATGAAATCCTAGATTCAGTGAATTTCATGGGAATTTTCTGCCTTGCTAAGTGTAGTGACAGGATTTCCATTGACCTCAGTTGTGCAGAGATTTTGTCTGCACTGTAGACCTCTGCGGCACAGGGAGAAGAGAGTCTCCATGCCCTGAAGAAAGGTTTATGAGGAAATAACATTTTCTGTCTGACTCTTAAGAAGTCAGATTAGGGGGAATATGGGGAGGTCATCAGCTATTATCCTGCAGTGAGCACCGTGTGGAAGAGCAGTCCTACTGAAGCAAGTCTTTATTTTCTTGTAGGAGGCACACATGTACAATTAGTTTACTTTAATCATTGATAAGGAATATTATTACCTTGTTTTGAAAATGTTATCCTAATTCTGAGATAACACCAGGGCATTTGGGGGAATGTTGTCTAGAGGGAGCTTCTATTCCCTTGCTGTGAACTTTTCACATTTGTTAGGCAGCATTCACACCAAGGAGCATGGACTTTAAAAATTCATGCCATAAAATTTCAAACCATAAACTTTAAAAATTTCATGCCATAAACCAACAGTAGCTACACTTTTCCTAAGACAGACCCACGAAGGACATAAATTGTTACTGACTCTGGCTGTTCAGTTTATGCTGCTGAGACTCATGCAGCTCTGGAGGCCCTCAGTCTAGTCTTAAATGTTTATAGGTGTCAGAAGAGTTTCCTTGCACATTCTAGAAAGCAAAGGAAGTATGAGAGAGAATGTATGTACATGATTTGCATGAATAAGCTGGAACTTTTCCTTCCTGAACACTGTAAATTTTTCATGGCTCTAAGTGTTCTCAATAAATATGTAGTTGTCTCTTTCCTATATGAACTTTTTGTTGTTAAACTTTCTGCAGAATATTTTAGTTCATACCTACTCTCTGAAATCTTTGGGTACTTTCTTTCCCTTTAGGAGTTTTCAGTTACTCCCAATGATATCATTGTATTTTCCCTTGAAGTGGTGTATTCATAACAGGATAATGGGGAGAGAAGCTGTTCGGTTTGTGATTGATTAGTGGATGTACAATCTCAATTCCCTTGGAAAGTGGGCGTGTGATTGTTTGAGCCTGTGTTTCTTTGGAGAGCAACCATTTCAGGGAATCGTAGTTAGAGCTGCAAACAATCCATTAGTCACTTGTCCAAGCCCTGCCAGGGTAATGCTGCTCCCTGCAGTACATCATCGAGTGTTTGTCCAATATTGGTTTGAGTGACTCAAGCCATGAGGCTTCCACCACTTCCTCTGAGGAACTATTTCATGGTCTGACAGAGCTCACTGTTAGGAAATATTTCCTGGTACTCAGCCTAAACTTTTTAACACCCAAATTGATCTCATTACTATTAGGTGGATTTTTTGTTTGGTGGTTTGTTTGTTTGTTTGGGTTTTTTTTTCCCAGTTCTGTCTTAAATCTGTCTTAAATCTTTTTCCTTCTTTGGTATATATTTTCCTTCACACTCTTGAATGAATAGTAGATGGTATTGTATCTCCTTAAAGTAAAGCAAATGCATAATTAGTTCTCCTATTCCTCTCTCCAAATAGGCCATCTGTTCGGTGGGAAACAGGGCTGAGTATAGAAAGTTTTTTCTACAGAGTGCTTGTTTCAATCAAATAATATGAAAAAGTGCACTGGGAGTTCATGTGATTCTGTAGCTCCAAGGAGCCCCAACTTTTATATAAAAGGTTTTTCAGAAATTATGTAGAAGATGGTAGCTTTTCCAGGCAGTCATTTGAAGTGATAATACCTTTTTCTAGCACAGTATATCTCTCACACTAGTAGTCTCACATTTCATGGCTTCAGGGAATGTTTTGTAATGTTACTTGGTCTATTTATCAAGCAAATTAAATGTAGCTACAGCCTGGAGAGGGGAGAGCAATGGCAGCACAATTGCAAGCAGATCCAGGAGACATTTGAACGTCTGTTATTCACAGCTTTACAGCCAGAATTTACAAGTATTTGGGTCATATAAGGATTGTTGAGGGCGGGAATGTAGTTCAATCTGTCCAACCATTGCACGTCTCTGGATTTCTTCTAGCAGCCAACATCTATTTGGTATTTCCTTCCTCCCTTCCTCCCTTCTGTCCTTCCTTCCGTACGTCCTTCCATCCTTCCTTTCATACTTCCTTCCATCCTTGTATCCCATTCGTGCTTTGAAAAACATGTAGTATGTCTTTTAAGCCTATGTTTATGGTTTTTTTTATTAATTGCTCTGCAATTTGGGAACCAAGCCCATGTTTTCTTAATTTTTTTACGTGAGATTATTGGATCCATGTGGGTCTGTGACCCAGGCTTCCAGCTCGGGGAGTAAACAGGCTGCATACACTTCCTCTGAACTGTGCTAGAAAGGATGTGCAGGTACTCAGGCAAGAGCATTCCTGAGCTAACTTATTACAACTTTATTAAGCTAATTAAGGAAGAAAAATGCAGTGATCAAACTAAGATCAAGTTCAGTTTGAACCAAATCGGTGGGTTCGTGTGATTAAGCTACCAATTTAATATAACAGATAATCTTATGATATTGCACACAAATACATAAATGCAAAAAAAGGAAAAAGCAGGTAGATGACAATCTGCCATCATGAAAGGAAGACTTGAATAACTCCTGCAGCTTTCTCGTTGTGTCATTCACTACCACAGATGAAGTAGCGGTAGTTTTGCCGAAGCCCAGGCTGTGTGCTGCATTTCTCAGGAAGTCTCAGGCACCTCCTTCACCTCTGAGTGGAGCGTCTGGTGCAGGCAGGATCCTCAAGGGAGACCTCCTGGAACAGGGGAAAGAACCGCTCCTCTTGGTTTCCTTTCTTTTCCAGGGAGCATTCCTCACTTCTTCCACCTCAGGCACGAATTCTATGGCTTTGAGGCCAAACTGTATGGAGTGAAGCAGGAGTGAAGACTGAACTGACTGCAGTTCAGTCCCCAGTGGGTGGCATGTGTCTGAGGTGAAGGTGGCAAGTCCCACCTCTGGAACAGTCCTCTCCTTTATACATGAGGAGCAAGGTGCATGCAGAACTTTTTGTCTAGAAACACAAGTGGCTTTTATGTGATCAAACTCTACTCCTTTTTAAGGGACTGATGTTTTCCCACTCCCCATGTCAATTCTGTGGCAATATTCTTCACACATGCCTGTGTCTAGTCTCCTCTCTGCCAAAGATCTGGTATTGTCTGTGTTCACGAGTGTGTACCCTTTCCATGCAGGTTATCCAGGCTGTCTTCTTTGGGATCTGTGTCTTGACCGACCTCTCCAGTCTTCTCACTAAAGGAAATGACAGTCAAGAGCAAGAGAGGCAGCTGAAAAAACTAATTTCCCTCCGCGACTGGGTGATGGCTGTTTTAGCTTTCCCTGTTGGAGTGGTAAGTATGGTGTTAATCTGCACAGGTCTTTACAAACTGAGTGAGTAGTGTTATTTACTGATTGTTTTCTGCCTGAAAGGCCTTCCCACCTCTACACAAAATAATGTGCAGAAAGATAAAAATGGTAGAGATTATTTTGCTACTCTCTTTGTTTTTCACAGGTGTAAGGGAGAACTGATGTCACTGAAATTATTTTTAGTTCACTAAAAAAAAAAAAAATCTACTTTACAATAGGAAATTGATTGTACAAGTGATTTCAAATGTGAATTGTACCAGCAGCATCTTGAGAGTCAATTTGGGCTTTTTCCATACTGTGTGTCATCGCTGGGAGTGGTGAAAATGCTGACTGTGAAACGTTTCACACCATAACAACCTGACCAGAGTTGGTGCTGTAAGCAATTTCGTCATGTCCAAGAAGGGAAGTGAAATGTCTAGATTGCTCCCTGTTAATCCCATGGGGGATTCAGAGCTGACAGGAGATATAGGGTAGAAAAGGGTTTTATCAATAGTGTAAAAAGCATACAGAAGGTATAGAAAAATGTGGGGTTTGCATGTCTTGATTTTCTGAAGAAAACGATTCTTTGGATCAGGTTCTGCTCCACTGGGACATGGTAGATTGCTTTCAATGGCAAAAGGTGCTGAATGTCTTTACATGTCTCATACCACACACTGAAAGCAGCTGTAAATCCAGAACTTCAGGTCTTTACATGGAAGTGTGATCTGTGCCAGTCTAGTTCTAAGTTTAGGTTACATGAAAAAAAAAAAATGTGAACTACTTGTTATTGTTTTTATTGTAATTCAGGATCAACCTTTAATTCTAATTTTTTTTTATTTCAGTGTACAGTAGTTCACTAAGTAAATTGACTAGAAGCAATTTTTTATGGCAGGACTACTAGAAAACTGTGACATATCTAAAGTTAAACTGTTTCACAAAAGCCAATCACTTACCGTTGACAGCAATTAACACAATGTACCAATCTGTGAGTTATAATTTGATATATTCAGAGTTGCTTCATTAAATTCTGATTTCACCATTTCTGTGGGATTTCACAATACATGAAGAAATAGAGTGCTTTTGCAAAGTTAGAAAGTGCAAAGCACATGTGAAATAATGTGCAGGTATTTCTTTCATGAAAACCCAGCTGGCAGCCTTCCCTTACTGTACTTGCTGGACTGCCTCGTGGGAGCTGCCACAATTCCAACCATGGTAAAAGAAACTGGATCAACTAATAGTTTTTAAAAAATCTGTGCATAAACAGGCTTGCAAATATGTAGTTTATGGGTGTAGAGATTTATATGTTACATTTGTATTTTAGGGGAGATAGGGAATTAGAAGTAATTGTGATTGTGATTGACGACAGATGCTTTTCCTACTCTGTTGATAGTAGAAGTGAAGGAGAACAACAACATCACATTATTTGTCTTTAAATAAAGATTTTAAGTGCCTTTTTCAATCTGGAAGTGTAGAGTCTTTATGTGCATCAGAGCACACCCTCCCTGGCTCTTTTATGGTGCTCAGGATTCAAGGATTCTCTCCTGCCACTGTTTTAACTCTGTGCTCCTCCACCACTTGCAGTGTTCCTGACTGTGCAACTTTTTGAGATCTTGGAGAATTTCAGCTTCAATTTGTCCTAGCAATTCTGCACATTTCTTTCAGGTGTTGCTTCTCTGGCCACCCATAAGCAAGGAACCCCAGCTAGCCATTGCCTGCACCAGAAGTACTGTTGCAACATTCACAAGTCAGTAGTTCCCAAGAGATAAGTTGCATCCATGGAGCAAGCTACTTTCCCGAGGCTTTCATACAGAAACATCTTCTGTCTTAAACAAAAATAAATCCAGAAATAATAAGCAACAACTGTGCTCATTTGACAGATGCTCTCCATTTCCAAAGGTGACCTTTCAATGGCTAGGGGAAGCAATTGATTACCACGTATTATTTCATTTCACTTCTTACAAGGAAAGTCTAAAATGTTTGTTTTCATTGTTATTTCTTCTTCTGGCTACTGGAAGGCCAAAGAGCAGCACTCAGTAATTTAACAGCAGTCTCAGCTCCTTCCTGAAGTCTGATCCTTTCCAGCAGCGCCCACCACACTGCAGCTGCCCTTTGCCAAAGCCTTGGCCAGGGCCTGAAGGGCTTCCAGCCACTGGGAGCTCTTCTTCAGTGGGATTATGGGTGGAAAAAATTCAGGGCCTGAAAACAGCAAAAGGCTAACACTGGCTTTGTTCTCTAAAGAGCTATTTATGTGTAAGAAAATACTCAATGAAATTTTGGTATGCTGGAGGTGATTGTTAGAAGGAAGTTATTTAACACCAAAGTGTCTGCAGAAATAAAGTTCCCTTGTTTCCCATAGTCTTTCAACAGCTTCCTCATTCAAGAAAAAAAACAAACAAACAAACAAACAAAAACTCGAACAGAAGTTCAGATGCAGGTTTTTGTTGAGATTCACCCACCTAACTCTCCATGGAGCTTCTCAGTGGTTTCCAGTAGTGGCAGAAGGGAACCTTCACATGTGAAAGTTGGGATGGATGTGAATAAAATGCTTGTTTGGTTTCTAATGTAACAGCAATGGTCATGCTTAAATACTTGTCAGTTACCTTAGCATATACATTATTTTTATTGCTCAGTGTTTTACACAGGGTTTGTTTAGGGAATAATACAAATACAAGGGGAACATTTTAAAGCCCACTAACTGTAGTTTTTGAAGAGCAATTCAGCACTGTTTTTTTCTGCATTTCCTGGTTACTGAAGCCCTTGAGATTACTTGTTCTGAAAAACAGACGAGAAAGGGGTTTCCATTCCCAATTCAAACAATGAAGTGTGAAAAAAAAAAAGTAACAAAATAAAGTATTTCATTTTTAGTACTTCCTAAAAAAGTATTAAAATTACATATAAACCACATGGGAAGTCTGACCACTAACCTCCTCCCACCTTCCAAACGAGGGAAGAGAACCAGCCTAAGGGCAAACAATCTCCTTGGGTGGCTTTGCAACAAATCAAATCTTGCAAAATCTTTGCAGCAAATCACATCTCTCCAGTGCTGTGTTATGCCTTGTGGATCTTTGGGGGCTCAGATAAAACTGAATTTCCAACCTGCCATTTTGTTTAGGAGCATGAAGTAAAACACATGAACCTTTGAATGGCTACTGTTTACCTAATGTTGCTTTTTATAATACAACTCTTAAGGGAATGAAATCAGAAATCAACACAGCAGTTTTCTATGCAGTGGAGCCTTATTGCACAGAAAAGTCTGTGGGCAACACTTCCTAGCTCTTTTTTTGATTATTATAAGCCTGCAGTACTATTCAAATGCCTAAGAGATCAGGAAGCACCCACTGAATTAAAATGCTTGCACAGACATTTTAGGAGTTCATTACCAATTCTTATCTACACTGGCTGCACTTACACCCCCTTTATCAGTGTAAAGGAGATTATATTGGCAATAATTTACACTGCTAAAGTAGTGTGAGACAATTAAACGTCAGAGACTATACCAGAGTTTAGGCTATCCCTACTTTTTGACATAGATCATGAAGTTGCCAAGTTTTTGTGGTTAATTAGTGTTTTGTGTAAACTGTGTATGATTTTATCAACATGTTTCTTGTAATTTGTATCCAACATGGGGAAGAGATAAAACAGGCATTTCTAGTTGTTTAAGACAGTGTTTTGTAGAAATAGGAAGAAGAAAGAAAATTGATATTGCTACATATTAGAAGAGGGATTGCTGCCTAGAAAATCACAAACTGTATTATTAATATTTTATATCACATGGCTTTAATATGTCCATTCAGGTCTGAGTCTAAACTGGCTAGAATGATCACATATTCTTTATGTTATACTTTGCTGTTTTTAAAAACCTGTGACATGAAAGAGAGAACACCAGGTGTGCTTTCTTATCTTATTTCTCTGTACTGGTACAATCACAAGGAAAGCTGATCGCCCTTCTTTTGCAGATCACCAGTAATGCTGATCTGGGATCTTATCCCAAGAAAAGAGGTGTAGGCATTTGCTGTGCTCTCCTACTTACCTCGTTACTTTACTGGACTGCAGAATACTTTTCTTTCCACAACTGACTTGACCATGCCAAAATCCCTCTATTTTATATTTTGCCCTCATCTGTGGTGATGTGGTAACTGATGATGGGAACGTGAGTGAGCAGTGGTGCAGCTGCCTCCTGAACTCTGTTCTCTGAGGGGAGCCTTCTCTGATTTTCATTTCCCACTCCTTGTCATTTCTTTCACTGGCCCGTTTCAAATTCATTTGGTGTAATGCTGTGCTAGCACTAGGTCCCACCTAGAGCGAGTCCCATGCCAACCGGTGCTTACTGTGGTCTGCTTTTAATAACATTTTGCTTCTATATGTAGCCTCAAAGAGGCTCACAAACAATACTCGCTGTTAACCACAAATGTCTTGAGAGATAGCCAGAAAGCTTACCTTTAGCTGTATTTAGAAGAAATTTTGTCAAGGTCAAAGGATTGGGGTTTTTTTAATTTGTCGTGAAGCCATCCAGGAAATGAGTGAACTGTGCAGCCCAGCCAAAAACAAAAACACATAGTGCAGGAAAATAAAGTTCCACTGAGTTCATGCTTCTTTTGCATAACATTTCTTGGTTGGGCTCATGTAAAACAGCAAATTATACAATTCTTTTTACTGGCTTTCCTCTCTCAGTTTCTCTTTGCCTCCATTTGTGGTGTTTTGATAAAGCCACTTGTTTTCCCTTTTGAATCACCATTTCCCAACTTGTCCTTTAAAATTTTTCCCTTGGCAGTGCCACATGCTCTTCTCATATCCTCTGAAGCTTCAGACATGGAGGACAAAAACTCAAGGAATATCTCCCTAAGTGGGAAAACAGAGTTTCATTTTCAGCCTTGTTTTTTTCCTGCTGCTGCGTATTTCTTTAGCGGTACGTTAGATGCCTGGAACAAGTGAGGTACTCCATATTTTTAAGCATTTTCCAAGTTCTCCTTGCAAATTTGATGTTCCCTTTAGTCTATAGTACACTAGATAGGGTAAGTAGCAAATGTGAGACTCTTCTGTTCTTTTATGTGTTTCTTAGCCTTACATATAAGCAAATATTCTGTCTTTGTTGGCAGTCTTGGGAGGCTCCCGTGCAAAGAAGAGTAAAAGCAATTGCTGGTGCCTGATTTCTTCCTTGAATTCCAGGCCTTGAGTTTGTCTAACAAAGAAGTGTAAAGGTGATGTTTGTGCCTTTTTGCCTTGGTAACAAAAGAAAATAAAAGTACTAGGCTCCCTGAAAGATGTCTGCTGCATCTGAGCAGCCTATTCAACCTGGCATGTAAGAGTAGTACTGTGACTGTCCCCACAAAAGTGATTAATTGGGCCACAGTGAAGACAGCATGAGCATAAGAGCTGCAATTCCAATTGAGCCTTACAAGGGCACTGTAAAGAAGCAGTTCAGTTGTATTATGGCCTGGCACTGCATGACCACATGTGATCTTGTCAAAGCCCAGCCCAAACAGAAGTCTACCATTACCAAAGTGTAAGCATAGTGGAGGTAATTTCAAAGTACCAAATCAGTAGTCGCCCATTAATCAAAGTAAACAAATTCAGAAGCAGCCAAGGTAGCTAAGTAGGCAAGTCCTGATGCTAGTTTTTTAATCCAAATAGCTAATTTTTGTAGTTCATTTGAATTCATAGTGCGATAGTTCATTCTCATAGTTCATTTCATCCAAATGAACTAGTTGTAAGGGAAGGTGAGGTAAGCCACTCAGACAGTGGAAGGGATCTCCCCCACAGCGTTGTGTTGGCCTCACATCGGGTCGTCCCGCAGGCGGGGTGAGGTCTGTAACACCTTGCGCCCCGCGCGCTTCCTTCACCTTATGTCTGCCCGGCGATGGCGCTTCGCTAGGCGGCCTTTGCCGTCTGTGGCTCCAGATGGCTGCAGCCAGCCAGGCTGATCCCGTTCCATCCGTTGGCTAACTTGGGGTAAAGGACAGATGGCACATCCCCTCTTTTCTTACCTTTACCTCCTTGGTAAAGTCTATTGTTCTACGCTGCTCCACACAAAAATCACAGGTCAAAACATGGCAGCTTTGTTGTATGCAGTATAAGGTTCGACTAACCTTATACTGACCTGAGTGATTTTTTCTTGCTGTAAGGCTGCCTTGGAAAAAAACATTATCAGTCTTGGTCTTCATGCACTTGACAATATGTTTTTGTTTCCCAGTTGGTCTTAGCAGGTTCTCAGAGACCCACTGTGCTAATACATGACTTCTAGGAAGCCTATAGAGAAGAGGAGACTTGGCTTCCATTTTCCCTGCTGTTCAGCTATTCATATCTTGACATTTGCGTGTCAGCACGTGCGTAAATAGGCTAGGCCAATGCCAAGATAGCCCAGAAGAGAGACTTCTTGTGGGGTACTTTACACTTGCAATATTTTTGGGGCTGTCCATCATAACCTTTTCTTTTTCCTGGCCTCTGTATGCTAGTCAAATAGTCCAACCTTATTCTGAGCAGGCACCAATAGCTATCATAACAGATGGACAAGTGTGTTGGAAACCAAGAAACTATGTACTGAATGCACACTGAGGGAGCAGTGTGTTGGTTCAGGTCATTCACATAACTGGCTGGCCAAAATCTGTGTGTCTGTGGTTAGAACAAGGTACCATTGATAAACTGCAATCTCAATTTTAACTTGGCTAAGTCAAAAGCATATGAAACAACTTAGGCCTACACTGTCACACACACTAATAATTTGCTAGCCTTGCTGTGCTCACCTCATATTACCTGCATTTGCTTTTACTGACCCCCCAAATCAGCTGTAAAATCATGGGCCCCATCAGTTTGGATGTAACTGAATACTTCCCTGCTGATCTTGGTGAAAGTCCTATCTGTTGCTTCTCAAAGTTTAAACTTGGACTTGTCGCTGCTGTTTAGAGATCCCCTGAAAATGATCATTGAAAAGCTCCTGGCACAAGTGTTGGGTTTTACTGCTGTAAACAATACACCATTTATTACTAGAAAACTACAACTCAAATTCAAGTTAAGAAAGTAATTGTGTTTTAATTAAATTACTTACTTTGGTCTTTCCCCAGCTAAGGTAAGATAAAACTATTACTTCTGTATATTTTTGTGGCTTTATATTGTCTTTACTTTTCAGACATCAGGGTATCTTTGAAGGATTTGTACACACTTTGGCAAAAAAATATAGCCTACTGCAAACTTTATCTGAGCCATCTGTCCTGTCCTCAGTCTAGAGGAAATATAGTCTTTCTCTAGGTTCTTGATAAATAGTCTCTGACAATAACCAAGCCAAATTTCATATTGACAAACGAGCAGATACTAGACCTCTTTTCTGTGGATCCCAGTCCATGAATTGTGTGCAGAGTAGTTAAAGAGTTAATTTTATTTTTTTTTTAAACAATGCCATTTTGATGGCTAACATGAAAAGGTGGAAAGGTGACTTTAAAGACTTCTGTTTAGAGGTGAATGTTTCAAATTTATATGTTCTATGAATTACAAGTGATATTTTATCTGATTTTCCATTTGTTTTATATCTTGTTAGTGGTGAATCATTATTTATGCACCACATCTGCTACTAAAGTGTAGCACTCAGTTGTAATTTGGCCACAGGCATTTAAGTCAAAAAATGAGATTTTTTTCCAGGCTGAAAGCCAAAAAGGAAAAAAAAGGTAGAAAAGTTGAAACTCCTGTGAATGCAAAGAATAATGCAGATTCACACTGTTGATTAAAGCAGTATTTGGTCAAAGAACAATAATGTCTGTGTCTGTCTGTAGGTCATTAGCTAAATGCCCCATTTTGCTATCTAAAATGTGTAGCTAATTGTTCAGAAGCATATATTTTTAAATGTCTTTTTTTTTTCTTCTTAGTTTGTTGTGACAATGTTTTGGAGCATCTATATCTATGACAGGGAACTGGTTTACCCGAAGCTGCTTGATAATTTTATACCAGCGTGGCTAAATCATGGCATGGTGAGTAAAATAATGCAAACACTTCATTATATAAACAAAAGTCTAAGACACTGATTTCCCTGTGCATGTTGTGCATGCACTTCCAGCTAATCCCTCAGAGGTGATTAAGGAATATTGTTTGCAAGCAAGAATGATATCTTTATTTCCTTGACTGCTTGAGTCATATCTGAATCCCTATTAGGCTAGAACAGTGGAGATTTGAACTTGTGTGTCATACATCCCAGGCTAGTTGTAGGGATCAACTGTTTCTGTGTTAAGGTGCCTTTCCCAGCGCAATGTCACTCTGGTCATGAGGAATTTTAATCAAAAGAGCCTCTTCCCCAAAACACAAGTTCTGACTTTGACAGATCTTCCTCTAAAATTACAGAAACACTTAACTGAATGATTCTTTGCCATTCTACCAAAGTATAATTTGTGATGAAAATGTTCTGTTTAAAATGCTTGTTCAAAAAATCTCACTGTGCCTTTTGAACTTCTGTGTTTTTAGAAAAAAAAATAAATTACTCATTTCTCAAGTACACCAAACTGCTGTAGCAGGACTTGTATTTTTAATTACATGAATATATGTGTATCTACACAAGGTTTCAAAATTGCTCTGTTGGTAGTCACAAATGTAGTTTCTTGAGAAGAAGTCTGACCTTTTCATCCCTCCCTGCTTTGTCAAGTAGGACATTCATTCTCTCAAGCAGATGTTTAAAAGCTAAGGGAAAGATAAGGCCACACTGCCATCAGATACTTGGCACTGTTTATGCAGCATTTGGACCTGAAAAGTGTTATGCTTGCTTCTGTAGTTGTGTCTGTGCAAAATGTTTCATTGTTACTGTGTTTTCTATATCAAGGCATGGCAAACCATTTGGCATTGCTGTTCATCAGTAGATGACAGCAGAGCTCATCCTTCAGGGTGTGAGTACTGCGTCACCACAGCAGGTCAAGATCTGTCCACTGCTGCTGGATTTGATAAATTGGTCCTTTGTGGGGTGGAGCAGATGGCACTGCTATTTATTTATTCCCTAAATTGTGTGTTAAAGGAGCAGTATCAGAGTTGCTACTGACAAGGGGAGCATCAGCTTCTGCTAGCTACTGTACTGTTTTGCTGTGTTTTGGAGGGATTAGCATGACATGATGTGTGTGTAGAGCCGAGGAAAGAGCCTGATGAGTCCTGCTGTGTTTGTTCAGATTGTCCTCCCTTGAGTTTGGAGGTTACAAACTGAACGCTTGCAAATGCTGCCAAGCCATACATACATACATTGATTTTTTCCTCACATCACATCAGTGCCAGCTCTGATGACATTTCTTTCAGGTGACATTCCACATACTGAAAGTGCCTAACCTCTAACATTTTTCGTGAATGTACATTGTGAATCAGCTGACAACAAATGGCCCTGTGTATTCAGGAAGTCTCCTCTGTGCCATAACTAAAGGGCAGTTCAAGCTCATGTTGCTCTGAAGAAATGTATACTTGCTGAAATATTTGAAGAGGCCTTTTGTTTGAGATTTTTTGGCATAATAGGTTGCTGAAATGAATTACATGAATGCATCTTGGATGGGTTTTTTTTCAACTTGAAATATTGGAGAACACATTTTTGAAAGTCTTTGGTAGAGGAATTGTTTGCTGTATCAGGCTCCATTTATCCAAGTTCTTTTAGTTCAATCCCAGAGAAAGCTTATGGCTGTTGGGCTTTTCATCACCTTTCAGTTTAATTCTTTCTGATGTTTTAGTGATCATTTTATCCTCCCCATTTTTCATACTAATTCATATTGCCCATAAAATTATGAAGGTGTTCTTAAGCTACCTTGAGAATGCTAGCACCTCACTTATTTGTAGTTACAATTTGGACACATTAGATTTTAGAGAATATGACAGAGGTCCCGTTGGTGAAAGAGTGAGACTGCTTGGGAATACAATTCTGGAGAAGTCAGGATCCCTGGCTATTGTTTTCTACTGAAATAAACATTTTTTCCCATCTGTTCCTGCATGTTTTGACAACAGCTGCGCACATTCAGAGGTAGTTTTTCTGAATGCAAGAGTGGCCGTGCTGGAGCCTAACCTTGTACAACAAAACACAGAAGAGATTCATCACCCTTGGCAGAGTGAAATCTGCCAGTGAGAGTTGGGTCCCTTTGCTACTGCAGCATTGCTGATGAATCCCTTTTCTCTGTGAGCTTCCCTCACAGAGCCTGGTGCAGCTCCTAAGGACCTGAGCTCAAATGTTACTTCACCTGTGAACACTCTGCCCTGTTTTTTCCACAGCAGTTTCTTTAAACATGTATTCATCACAAAAAAAAAAAAGCCACAAAAAGTGGAAAATGTAAATCTATAAATTTTCCACAGTAAAAAGATTGCCTTCTTTAACCAAAAAGTCATATATTCAAAAGTTTCTGACTGATGTATGACGACCGGATAGCTGTAACAACTTGCTCAACTGTCAACATCAGCCTGCAAAATCCACTTGCAGAAAAGGAAGGAATAGTTATGAAATCTGTCTGTAATAATAGCAATTATATTTCCATTAGTAATATGGACATGTATCAAAATATTTGAGAGTATTTATACCTTAGAAGCATTTTAAGGTGAATGTCTTGAAAGCTGTATGAATAAATTGTTTGAAGGGCTGGTCCAGCTCAGTGTATTAGCCCAAGCAGAGGTGGTTTGGGCAGTAGTGTCTCCTACTTCCTTAGGTTATAGTAATCGGCTCTCATCATTGTTTATCATTGTTTTTCTTCTCCCCTTTTCTCATCCCTTCTCTGCAGTAACAGTGTTGCCTATAGTTAAATAAAAAACCAAACAACTGTTTTCTTGAACACATATTAATATAATATTACGTATTATTATAGTATCAATAATATTGCATATTAATGTCTTGCTAACACTCAGATATACCACGCTTTCACAGCAATACTTTTTCAAAACCTTAAAAATTCTTAATTATAAAAAAAAAAATCTTCTCTAGAAATGGAAAACATAAGGGAAATGAACCTCAGAGCTATGCAATCCCATTACCAATTCAGTCTTAATATTGTTTATAAATTTCTTAGAAACAGAGGGAGGCTCATCATTCTGCACGAAGATAAAAGTCCAAACTATTTACCATAAAATTGCATATGGTGTCAAGAACTGTATTTTCTATTTTATGTATACATAAATACCATAATAATTTAAAAATATTATTCCTGTCTACAGAAAAAATTGTGTGGTAAGTGGTACCTTGTTTCACCAGATAGTATCTCATGCATACAGATTCATACGCCTGTGACAGGCATCACTGAGAGAGTTGTACGGTGCCATAAAACTGATACCTTTCATCATCTCAGTCAGTCGATTCATCCATAACCAGTGGTATCACTATGACTTGAGCAGTGACATGGGGAAATCAATGGCAGGGTTGCTATCAGTTTTAGCAGGGCAAGGATTTCATCTCTGTTTATTCTGTGAAGGAGCACGTCTGAGAAGTTGAGGTTAAGCTTCTGTCAGGAGAAATAACTACCTGTCTAAAGAGAGCTGTTGAAGAGTAGGGTTATGTCTCAGCCTTGGTCTATTTCTGAAATGTCAAGTTCACTTCCTGTATTTATTAGTTATGCAGATGAATTCATCTTTGTTGGCTGCAATTCTAGTTGCCGAATTACTGAACTTCTCTAGCAAAGATGTCATTTGTTTTCTTGAGACTGTCCTGCACGTTGGATCCACATCAACCCTTAATTAATTCCAAAGGTGTATTTTTTGTGGGAAATATTCTTTCCCATTTTCTGATAGCTGTCTACCTGATCTCTAATCTGATCTGATCAGTAGTAGGAATTTTTAATTAAAGGCTAACCTTTAGTGTTTAAAACTAGTGTGTCATAGCAGTAGGACTTCTATCAGCTCATTCATTGCACCTTTTTGTGTTGGAACTGGACAGGATGATGCACAGACAACATTTGTTTCCAGAAGTTATATTCTCTTCAGTTAGCACAGACTGCAGACTGGAGGTTGCCCCTGTTCTAACCGATGCCCACATAAACAGATCTGTAGACAGAATCAATTTAAGCTTAAGCATTGCTGATTTTGAGCCAGGTTACATGGCAGGACTGTGTGCAGTATCTGTCCAAGTTAGCATACCATTTCAGCAAGACTCCTTCTTTGTTTTTCATAGACACTGTCCCGAATTCTTTTTAAAAATGTGAATCATCTTTTGTTTGTGGCAGGGAAAGTAAAATATAGACACAGAAATTACTTACTGTGGAGTTTAATGGTTTTAGAGGTCAGAAACAAAGAATTGTCTTCATATGAAAACTCTAGAGGTCAGAGAAGGGGGAAGGGGAATGTGCTCTGCCTCTGTGGAGTTGGAAAATTGATTATTGTGTGGGTTCTGTGCCACTACAATCTTTATGAACTCTCCCAGTTTTGTACTCTATTCTTTTTATGCTGCTTTTGGGAAACAAAGGCGTTCCTAGATACCCTCTGTCCTTGTATTCAAGACAACGCACAAAAACTGGGACAAACAGCAGACAAAGACAAGTTACAGAGAGGAATGAGCCTGTCCAAGTGATACATCTCTACTTATTTCACAAGTTGCCTTTCTTTTCTTATTGCTGGCTGCTCTGCTGAAAAGCTCAGCTCACCAGAGAGTGGTGCAGGGTCCCTCTGGCCATCTCTCCAAGTGTTGTTCTTCCTGGCAGCCTTGTCTTAGGTGCAGTGGCCTTGGCTTGTTTGTTCTTTGTTTTTCTGATGGAAAGCTTTTTTCCTTGATTTTTGACAAGCAGAAGAATAAAAAAGCCAGGCAAGGATCAAAATTCATAATAACCTGACATATAAAGACTGGAAGGTCTAAAACTGGTGAGATTTTTTACAAAGCCATCTCTCCATGATTATTTGGGTCAGTTGCTGTACAGTTTGTACATCACTCGCTCTGATGTACAAACAAGGAGATGTCCTTTCTTTCAGCAAAGTGTTAAGATTTTTGTATATTAGTGGTGAATAAAATCTTCAGTGCTTTGGGAAGGACTTCCCACTTGTTACATAACTTGCAAAGTTTTCTGATACAAACCACGGAAAATCTGTAATTTAATTTCCAACA